ACACTGGGAAAGAGAGTAGGGAATGTTCTGGGGATGTGAGCTGGAGGTGCTGTCAGCCAGGCTAACACACTTCCCATGGCTTGGGAGTACACTGGGAAAGAGAGTAGGGAATGTTTTGGGGATGTGAGCTGCATGTGCTGTCAGCCAGGCTTACACACCTCCCATGGCTTGGGACTCAAGATGCTCAATTTAGGAAGGAGAATCAACTGAACTGTGCTGAAACCCCTTGGAAATCTTGTTCTGATGAAGGACTGAATTGCTCAGGTTGGAGAAGACCTTTAAGATCACCAAGTCCAACCCAACACTTCCACATTCCCCACTAACCATGTCCCCAAGTGCCACATCCATGTGTGTTTTGGACACTTCCAGAGGTGCTGATTCCACTCCTGCCCTGGGCAGCCTGTGCCAACCTCCTCCAACCTTCTCCATGGAGAAACTTTGCCTAATATCCAACCTAAACCTCTCCTGGCACAACTTGAGGTCATTATTGGCACAGTAAGACTTTTCCCTGCAATGAGAGAAGCTTCTGCTGCTCTTTCCTGAGCTCTCCATGCACATCCAGGAGCTGTTCCCTGCCTACTGTCCCTTGTCCCAGCTGAGCACTGGCAGTTCTGCCTTCCCCTTTTCCATGGAATACTCTGGGGCAGGATGTGGTCATGTTGTGGCCACGCTGAGGATGTGCAGGGAAGGAACAGGTGGTTGATATTCCTCTAAGGAACACTAGAGGGAAAGGCAGCAGGGAAGCAGGAAGGAAAGGAAGCTAAATATGTCCAGTGACTTCAGTCGTTTCTATTGTCATGTCTGAGTGACTCTGAGCTTAGTTTAAACCTCTGGAAGCCAAGGAAGACAGTCCATGTGGCAGTAACTCCTCCCTCCTGTTGTTCCATGACCATGGAAAGAACTGGAACACCAACCTCTCTCACAGATGAGGGGAAAAGCAACTCTATTTTTGAGAGCATCCCCTGTAATTAGCTCTGCTGCTTGTCCTCTCCCCTGGGCTCCTGCCCACACAGCACACACAGCACCAGAGCTGAGTCTGCCTGGCAGCAAAGGTGCAGCAAAAAGGGAGAAAACATAAGGAAAAGAAAACATCCTCAGGAAACCAATGGATTTCAGAGGCTCCTGAGAGTTCTATGCAGTAGATTTCAAACTCAGTGAGGTGCTAAACGACTTGACACCTTTGTTCAGTGTCACAGTTAACTCAGGAGCTGTACAGGGGGAAAATACTCCTTAATTTGTCCCTACTTTGTGCACAGGTTTTGGCTGGAAGGACCTCAGAAATCATCTAGTCCCAACCTAATTCCAAGTTAAGGAATCACAGGATGGTTTGGGTTGGAAGGAGCTTAAAGCTCATCTCATTTACCCCCTGCCATGGGCAGAGACACCTTCCACTAGCCCAGGTTGCTCCAAACCCCATCCAATCTGGACTGGAACATTTCCAGAGATGAAACAGCCTCTGGGCAACCTGTGCCAGAGCCTCAACACCCTCAGAGGTTCCATCTGCTCTTCCCAAGTTCTCCCAGTTTACACACACCTGGGACATCTCCAGGCTGTGCTTCCTTCCACTGAGCACATCTGGTCACTGGGCAGGGAAGTAAGAACAGGAAACTTCAGTCATACTTCTCCTACCTCTGGAGAGGCTGTTTGACCCCTTGGAGCAGCTGGAAACAAACAGGATGTCAGGGAACCATATTTATTGGCAACTGGAGTGTGTTCCTCCTGAGCCAACACACTGCACTGAGATCCTTGGTTGCTTTCCAGCCCACTGGGGAGTTTTCCATGCAGACCAATTCCTCTCCTTCCAGTGAGAGAAATCACTGCTGCCTGAGCCATCCTGTTTATTCCCTGATGTTGGCATTGGACTCTGCAGCCTGAAGTTTATCAGGATTCTTGGACAGGCTAGTCCTTGTGTGAGGAAACCAGAAATCAGATAGGGAACAGCAACAAAATTCAGTGAGTCAGTTGAATATTGGCCCAAAGTGTTTTCACTTCTGCCTTGTTTTAATTTCTTGGGAGCTGCTGGTTCAGGGAACGACTTTGCTTCCAGGATCACACAGGGATGTGGCTAGTGGGCAATGAATTTGTAGCTGGGTCACTACTTTCTGGTAGTTCTGTTGTCAGTGCTGCTTTGGCTGAGAGATTCTTGTCTTTGCTAGAAAAAAAAGACCAAAGTGAGGTCAGAGCTGATACTTTCTCCACTTTCCAAGGACACAGTTCCTCTTGGTTAGGAGCTGCAGTGACAGGACAAGGAGTAATGGGGGTAAAAAGAGGGGAAATTTAGATGAGATATTAGGGAAGTTTTTGCCCTCTGAGGTTGGTGAGACACTGGCACAGGTTGCCTAGGGACCACACAAGGAAAACTGTCCTGGATCACATGGAGTCATTTCACCTATGCCAGGTGGAGGCAGGAGGCTTGTTTGGGAGGAGCCTGGAATTCCCACTGCCCTGTGGCATGGGCACACCATGGAACCACTGGAAATCACAAGTGTCTGGTAGAGAAATGTGTTTGGGAACCTCTAGGGAGATCTTTGACCAGGTCATGCTATTGTCTACCACTGTTACAGGCTTTAAATATCCCTTCTTCATACTTTGTATTCTGTTAACTTGTCTGATCCAACCCCAGGAAGATAAGCAGCTCTATAATCCCAGGAAAGAAGCAAAAAAGGTGGTTTTTTTTTAAACCTTGTACTTTATAATCCCCTGTCGAACTCACATGACACTTCATGCTCCTCAAGTTTCCTACTTAAAAGCAATTTCTTGCTTGATGGAGCTGTGAGAAATCAATTTCTCATGTCAGCTTGATTCAGATCACGTTGAAGAATCCTAAAATCTGTTTGCCACCCTCCCTGAGGGATGTGTTCATTAGAGCCAGCCCAGGAGCCCCAGTGTGCTCACACTCTGCCTTATGCTCTGGAATTAGAAGCAGTTAAATAAGAGTCTTAAAAGTTCCTGGGTGTTTTATCCCAGTTCAATTTGATAACTCACCCTGCTCAGCCATTGGACACATCACTGATTTCCAGTAACCACAAAACTCACTGGAAAATCCCCAGTGAAATGTCAGGGGAGGAAAACCTGCAGGAGGTTTCCCAGCTGGGTCTGGGTTGCTGGGAGGGCAGCAGAGGGTGCTGCTTCCCAGGGCAAAGGCACTGCCAACCCCAAGAACCTCCTGCGAGCTCAGCTTTACTCTGATCTGTCCACGGATCTGTACTGTATGGGCAAAAATCAGCAGCACCTCCAGGGATCTTTGCTTTGCAGGAAGGACACGGTGAGAGTGACCTCTG